GATTACATTTCCTTTTTCATATAACTTTTGTTTATTCTGGAATTGTCTACCAACATATTTTCCACCCAAACCTGCCAGATAATCTATGAATTTCATTCCCTTCTCCCCACCCTCCACCCCGCAAAAAAAAAATCCTTCCTGGAGCTTGCTGTAATCTGTACCAGCTGCTCTCCAGGCCCACAGATGTCTGTCAGCCTAGGACTTTCTTATGTACTGGTGTGCTTCAGAGTGCCTATCCACAGAGGTTACCACTACTATTTCTACTGCTCCTCCAGAAAATAAGGCACTTGTTCCCGTAAGTCAACATCTTCTCTAAGCACACTGTTTAAATCAATAGAACAGTGTGAATATGAACTACTGGGCTGGTGACAATATTTTTTTAAAAGAGAAAGAAAGAAAAGAAAACACTAAATTATAGATCATTTTCAGTACTGTGGCATCACTTTTTGGTACAAGTATCTAAAACTTTAAAAAAAAAAACTTTTAAAAGCACAAGGTTTCCACAATTCTTAGGTTCTTACATTTCCTTTTTGACCCACCTCCTAGAGAAATGGAAATAAAAACAAAAATAAACAAATGGGACCTAATGAAACTTCAAAGCTTTTGCACAGCAAAGGAAACCATAAACAAGACCAAAAGACAACCTTCAGAATGGGAGAAAATATTTGCAAATGAAGCAACTGACAAAGGATTAATTTCCAAAATTTACAAGCAGCTCATGCAGCTCAATAACAAAAAAACAAACAACCCAATCCAAAAATGGGCAGAAGACCTAAATAGACATTTCTCCAAAGAAGATATACAGACTGCCAACAAACACATGAAAGAATGCTCAACATCATTAATCATTAGAGAAACGCAAATCAAAACTACAATGAGATATCATCTCACACCAGTCAGAATGGCCATCATCAAAAAATCTAGAAACAATAAATGCTGGAGAGGGTGTGGAGAGAAGGGAACACTCTTGCACTGCTGGTGGGAATGTGAATTGGTACAGCCACTATGGAGAACAGTATGGAGGTTCCTTAAAAAACTACAAATAGAACTACCATATGACCCAGCAATCCCACTACTGGGCATATACTCTGAGAAAACCAAAATTCAAAAAGAGTCATGTACCAAAATGTTCATTGCAGCTCTATTTACAATAGCCCAGAGATGGAAACAACCTAAGTGCCCATCATCGGATGAATGGATAAAGAAGATGTGGCACATATATACAATGGAATATTACTCAGCCATAAAAAGAAACGAAATTGAGCTATTTGTAATGAGGTGGATAGACCTAGAGTCTGTCATACAGAGTGAAATAAGTCAGAAAGAGAAAGACAAATACCGTATGCTAACACATATATATGGAATTTAAGGGAAAAAAAATGTCATGAAGAACCTAGGGGTAAGACAGGAATAAAGACACAGACCTACTGGAGAACGGACTTGAGGATATGGGGAGGGGGAAGGGTGAGCTGTGACAGGGCGAGAGAGAGGCATGGACATATATACACTAACAAACATAAGGTATTAGCTAGTGGAAAGCAGCCGCATGGCACAGGGATATCGGCTTGGTGCTTTGTGACCGCCTGGAGGGATGGGATAGGGAGGGTGGGAGGGAGGGAGACGCAAGAGGGAAGAGATATGGGAACATATGTATATGTATAACTGATTCACTTTGTTATAAAGCAGAAACTAACACACCATTGTAAAGCAATTATACCCCAATAAAGATGTTAAAAAAAAAAAAAAGAATATATCCATGTAGACTTGAAGTTAGGGACCAGCTGGTGTAAATTTGTGTGGTTATCTCCTGACCTAAACTTTTAGCTTCTTTTTGTTCCTTGATTGTAGTTAAGCTTCATCTTGCCTCAGGGCCTTTGTATTTGTTTTTCCCATGTTTTGGAAATATTATTTCCAGAAAAATTGTCCATAAATGATTCTTTCTATTCTTTGGCACTCATCTCTTAAAGATATTTTTTCCTTGATTGTCCTACCAGCCTAACTTAGTCCCAATTTATCAGATTACCCTACTTCTTTCACAGAATAATAATAAAAACAAATATTATCTTTGGTGGAAAAAAAAAACTTTTAAAAGCACAAGGTTTCCACAATTTCTTAGGTTCTTACATTTCCTTACTAAATGACACTTCCCTACTTCTTCTTTATGTATCAAAAAAGGAACACAAATTCTACTGCTTTAGAAGACATTGACCCATCAATTATCCCCAAACAAATTTTTACTAAAACCTTTAGTAAATTATGACTGAGGCAGTTATCCCATTCATTGTACCCTTGACATTCTCTAAGAATTCAGGTAAAGGATTAAAACATTTAATCCAACCATCTTACTTTTTCAGGAGTAAAAATTTTTGGCAAATTTGACAAGTGGTCTTGAAAGGCTTATTGTACTATTATGATAACTCATGCAATAACCTACCATTTGAAATTATTCCTTAAAAAATGTATTAGTGAGTATATTTTTCTTTTATAATAATCTCTGTAGCATCTGTAGTTACATCTCCTTTTTCATACTTATTGTTTATTATGGCTTCTCTCTCTTTTGATCAATCTTACCAGATTTGTTAACTCTATTAGTCTTTTTCTAAGAATCAGCTTCAGCTATGTTGATCCTTCATTGTTCACTTGTTTTATATTTCTTTATTTCTACTTTTATGTCTATTATTTCCTTCCTTTCTTTATTCTGTCCTGTTTCTAATTTAGATTGAATTCCTGGCTCGTTAATTTTCAGCCTTTCTTCTTTTCCAACAAATATCTCAGAGCCTCCGTCAGAGATCTTTTTCCTTCTACCTAAAGTGTATCTTTCTGAATTTGTCTTAATGATATTCTACTGGAGATAAAAATCTGTTTTAATTTTTCTGAAAACTTTATTATGTACCTACACTCTTGAAAGGTATTTTAGCTTTAATAGTTATTTCTTTTCAGCACACTGTAGTTATTCTTTTCTTCTGATTTCAAGTTTTTCCTTTCAATAAACCAGTCTAATAGTAGATATTTTGAAGGTAATCCGTCTTCTCCCTCTGGCTATTTATTTATTTATTTTATTCATTTAATTTTTGGCTGTGTTGGGTCTTTGTTGCTGTGCGCAGGCTTTCTCTAGTTGCAGCAAGCGGGGGCTTCTCTTTGTTGCGGTGCATGGGCTTCTCATTGCAGTGCACGGGTTCTCGTTGCGGTGGCTTCTCTTATTGTGAAGCACGGGCTCTAGGCGTGCGGGCTTCAGTAGTTGTGGCTTGTGGGCTCTAGAGCGCAGGCTCAGTAGTTGTGGCGCATGGGCTTAGTTGTTCCGCAGCATGTGGGATCTTCCCTGACCAGGGCTCGGAGCCACGTCCCCTGCATTGGCAGGCGGATTCTTAACCACTGCGCCACCAGAAGCCCATCCCTCTGGCTATTTTTAAGGTCCCTGACTATATGCAAATTTAACTATGAAGTGTTTAGGTTTAGTTTTTTCTCTCCTGTTTAGGATTTGACTTCTTGAATTTGTGCCATTTGCAATTTTAGAAATTCTCAATTATAAACTCCTCAAATATTATTTTTACTTGACTTTTCTTCACATCTATATTCTGCTTTGATAACTGGTAGATCTTCTCATGCTCTTCCTGTATTAGTTAAGACTAATACAAGACTAGGCTGATGCAATAAGAGACTCTACAATTGCCTGAACAAAATTCAAGGTATTTTTCTCTCCCACACGACAGTAGAATGGGACAGTCCAGGGCTGGTTTGGCAGCTTAGCAGTCTGAGAGAGCTAAGCTCTTACATCTTGTTGCTGCTCTGTCATCCTTATAGTATTGCCCTCTTCTGCCTAGCTAAAAATAGTTCATCACTGTGTCCACATTCCAGTCTAAGGGAAGGAAGGAGGAGGTGGGAAATGGAGTATCTCATTCCTCTTATAGGCATAAACCGTAAGGCTTAAAACCTATGCACACATAACTTCCACTTGCATCCAAATTGCTGAAACTTTGACACAGAGTCAAATCTCACTATCAGAAAGGCAGTGAAATGGAAGCTGTAGCTGGATAGCAAAGCATCCAACTAATACAGTTATTGCTTAAAAGGAGAAAGAAATCAAGGAAATCTAGCAATTTCTGCCCCAATTTTCTAATTCTCATTTCTTCTCTTACATGTTATCCATCTGTGTCTCTTTATTTTGGTTAATTAATTTTTCAGGTCATCTTCCAGCTCATGAATTCTAATCTATTGTTAAACCTATCTATTGAATTAAAAAAATTTTATTTATATTTTTCATTTCCAGAAGTTCTTTTATTATTTTGTCAAAGCTATTGGTAATTGTTCATAATCTCATTCTGTTTCTCACAGCATTATAGTGAAATGTTTAAAAGCCTGAACTTATGATCCATACTGCCTGACTAGAATCCTGCTCTACCACTTACTAACCTCTGTCTACAACTTGTCCTCCTAAATGCTGAATATTGGGAATGCCTCTATTAAATAGAAGACGGGAGACTATCACATTATCCAAAAGTATTCCTTACTCTGTGCCTTTGAGCAGGACATGTGCTCCATGAGTTGTAAAAGAAAAAAAAAAGTAAGCACGTATTCTTTTTTAGCAACAGAGTAAATCATCAAAAACTACATCAAAGCAGACTGCTTTTTATATGTAGTACAATCTACTTAGTAAGATGAATATTCTTTAGCAATCTTTATCATCACAAGCAAATAAAACATTTGTAAACCATGAAGAAAATTTTATAGGCTGTGACTAATACTTTCTATGTTGACAAAAATTTTTTTTTCCTTAAAAGGCTTACTAAATTAATAAGTTTACTAATTTACGCAAAGTATATCAATTCTAGAATCCTGATGGATACATTTCCATAAAAAGAGGTATTTAACTTTATCCCCTTAAGGGCACTGCCACATAAATTATATAATCATAATTTTAAAATTTAAGACTAACACTAAAGCAAGCCATAGCTAATGAAAAAGTATGAATCTAAAATAATTTCTAAAGCAAAACAGCATACCTGTCACAAATTTCTGAAATCTTTATTCTTAAAGACTACTTCACTTCTTATAACCAACTGAAATGCTGAGATCCTTCCTGGAAGGAAAAGTAAAATGATGTGACCAATAGCAACTAACCTCTATATAGCATTTTATCATGTACAAAGCTCTTTCCTTTATATTTTTTAGTTCACCAAAGTCAAAACTGTATATGATTTCCCCCACTATAAAGATAAGGAAACCATCCAAGGTCTAACTTGAGTTAAATGACTTAGGGGCAAAGTAACTAGGCAGCTATACTCAAACCTATCCTGATATTAAATGCCATTCTCTTTCAATGTATTACGCTTTGTTACATAACAATAACAAAGAATATTAATAGCATACATTTACTGAGAGCTTACCACATGCCAGGTACTGCTGTGAGAAATCCTCACAAAAATCTTATGAGGTAGGTACTAGCAATTTGCCCAAACCACACATCTAGGAAGAGAATCCACAATTCAAACTTTGGCAGCCTGGTTCCTGAGTTCACACTCTAACATGCTAACTTGCCTCTACTCATATATGTGCATAGAAACTTGAATACACATAGAATACCTTTGGAAGGAAACTGAGGAATGAGGGGACAAGGAAAGAAGGGAGATTTTTCACCGTATGCCTTACATATATTTCTTGAAGGTCAGGCAGAGGAAGGGGAGTGGGGTAGGAGTATTACAGACATGGAATTCCATGGAAAAAATGCACAGATTCAAGAGAATGAAAAGTCTAATTAAAAAAAAACTATTACGAAAAAGTCTAGGTGGCTTGAGCATTTACAGTGAAAGCTTGGGGGAAAGGTAGGGGGAAAGGAATGAGTACAGATGTGGTTTAAACAGTAAGCAGGCTAGCAAGCTACCAAAGTCCCTGTATGACAGCCAAAGAACTTGAAACTTTCCTATCAGAGGAGGAAAGTCACCTAAGGTTTTTGAATAGATAATTTGAGGGGAAAAAAAAGAAAAAAACCCACAAACTTTTATGAGAACTGTGGATGTAGGAACAAAGGGAATGAGAAACTGGAGCAGGGAGTCCAGTTAGGAGGGCAAGGAATGGGGCTTGGGACTTGAGACATAGAGAGGGTTAGTCTTAAAGTAAGGGACATAGTTCAGCAACTTTGCTGTGAATACCAAGTGAGATAATGCATACACAGCTCTTAGCACAGTGCCTGTATAAAAAACAACTACTACTACTATCACTGCTTTACTACTGTAACTACAGTGTTACTGGTATCAATATTTTGAGAAGAATTGTGGAAAGGTAATGTAAGACAAGAGTGGATAGTACTGTCAGATTAGGAACCCCAAATCAGGAGGCAGCATAATAAAATTTATTTATTCTGAACCTTATTGAATTGAAGGGTCATCAGTTCTTTGAAAATGTAAACACATAGGGAGAAGTGGAGACCGAGGAACCCAAACTAACAACCCCTGATCGAAAGGAACCCCTGGCGTACCTGGATCCCTGTGTGAGCCTGAGCAAGTTATTTGTTAATATGTAATTTCCTTATTAACGAAACAAAGCTGGATTAAGATACCTCACTGGTTCCTGATAATTAAATATACATATTTTAGGTACCTATAAAATGCTTAAAACATGGGAGAAGTTAAATGCTTTCCCCTCCTAAAGTGAAAACAGGATCAATATTTTGGTTTGATGAAAACACTGCCACATTAGAAAACTACTGCTAGGACCCTAGTTTATTAACCTGTTTGCTTTACGAACTTCAAATCTATCTTAGCATGGCCAGATAGTCATGAGTTTCTGATTCTCAAAAACTCTGAAGGTTCCCGTTGCCAGAGGTTACTGGCTTTGTGAAAAGAAATAATACAGGCATAGACACCTTTGTCTTTAAAATATCCTGTTCAGGACAATCTTAGTTCTAATCAAGTTCTTAATATTTGAGATGAGAGGAGGTCAGAAAAACGTAATAAGAAAATTATTTAAAGCTTGCTTTCATAAGACAAATCAATTTGATCAGGTCTAAAAATTGGCCATTAAATGAGAATTAAACTTAATCAGGGATCTTGGACTCTGTGCCTAATGCTAAGAAATATACCAAAAAAAACACGTGACTATTGATTTATAGAATTTCTAGGATTTATTTTCAAGAAGAGTAACACTGGGTGAGAGATTTTTATTTTCTCATAATGGAACTAAATGGAGATTCTATAAATGGGAGATCTTAATTTAGCAATTAAGAGTTATGAATTGCTGACCACATATGTTTATAAATGGATTTCTTGATAAGAATCAGTTCCAAACATTCTTTTTTGGATGGACATCAACCCCCCCCAGTAGACTAAGCTATCTAAGTTTATACCTAGATCACTGCAATAGCCTCTCATTGGGTCCCTTCACATCTAATTCCCCTCACCCCCCCAATCTTTTTCCCATAGTGAAGCTAGAATGATCTTTATAAAAATACTTATTTAATCATGATAGTGACCCTCTTCCCAAATCCCTCCAGTTAAGATACTTCAGTGATTTGCCACTACCCTTAAGGATAAAGCCAAAAAATGTTAACATGGCCTACAAGAGTCTGCACAGTTTGGTCCCTAATTCCCACTCTAGCTTCATTTCACAATGTTCTCCCTCTCGCTCTCAATGCTCCAGCCAAACTGCCTTTATTCCATTTTCTCCACTGTGCCATACTCTCTCCTGCCAGACACAGGTCAGTTGGTAAAGTGTTCTGGAGAAAAATAAAGCAGGAAAGGGGGTATAGGGAGTTCAAAGGGCAGGAAGATTTGTAGTTTGAAACAAAGTGATACTCAAGTAAAGACCTAAAGGCAATGGTAAGTAAGAGAACAGAGTCATGCAGACATCTAAAGGAAATCGAAAAACCTTGAGATGTCTAGTGACTTCTATAAAGAGAAAGGATGGCACCCTAATTGGAGGGAAGTAATGAGATGATTAGTAGGAGGTAAGGTAAGTGATGAAACAGACAGCTTAAAGATGGCTTTTAGGTCATAGTAAGGACTTTGGCTTTTACTTGGTATGAGATGGGAACTCACTGAACAGTTCTGATCAAAGGATGACAAGTTCCCACTGAACTTTTAGACAGATCTCTCTAGCTGTCGTGTGGTGAAAGGAAGAGGAGGTCAAGGCCAGAGGCAGGGAGAACTATTTGAAGGCAAATGAAACCCAAAAGATGGCAATATGGACCAAAGCAGTAGCAGTGGAAGTAGTAAGAATTAGTTATCTTCCGGATATATTTAAAGATAGGGCCAAAAGGAGTGAAGAGTTGGGAGAAAAAAGGCTACTAAATAATAAACAGAAGACAGATGCCAAACAGAGAACACTGAGCAGGATAAATACCAAAAAATCTACACCTAGGAATATATTCAAACTGCAGAAAATCAAAGACAAATATTGAAAGAAGCCGGAGGGGGAAAAAAAACACCCAACTTCTAGAGGGGCAAGAATGAGAATTACCTGAGACTTCTCTTCAGAAATTACACAAAAATAAGAGAATGAAGTGAAATATTTAACTGTTGAAAGAAAAAACCCCACCACGCTACAATTCTGCAAATCCAGCAAAGTTAGCCTTCAGATGACAGAGAAATACAGACTTTCTCAAACAAAAATTCAGTGGAATTTGTTGCCACAGATCTGCTCTGCAAGAAATATTAGAAGAAGTTCTTTAAAAGAAGGGAAATGATTTAAGTCAGAAACTTGGACCTAAATATGAATATATGAAGGTAAAATAAAATCTTTTATTTTTCTTATTCTTAATTGATCTAACAGACAACAATTTTAAATAATAGCAATAATGTATTAGATGATTATAGTTCATGGATAAGTAAAATGAATGACAGCACATTATAAGGGATTTTAGGAATTGGAAACTGTTATAAAGTATTTGTATTATCTGTGAAGTGGTATAGTGTTATATGACACTGGGCTTGGATTAGTGGTAAATGTATATTTCAAATTCAAGTGCAACCACTAAAAAAAAAAAGTATAATTGATATGGTAAGAGAAAAGAAAAAATGAAATAATATAAAATGCTCAGTTAAAACCAGAAGGTAGCAGAAAAAGAGTAGAAGACAAAAAGGAAACAAGGGCAATGAACAGAAAACAGTAACACCTATGGGAGCTATTAATCCAACTACATTAAAAATCGCTAGTCAAAAATCAACTCTAAATACACCAATTAAAAGAAAGAGACTGTCAGAGTGGATCAAGAAACACACTTTGGGGACTTCCCTGGTGGCGCAGTGGTTAAGAATCCACCTGCCAACGCAGGGGACACGGGTTCGATCCCTGGTCTGGGAAGATCCCACATGCCGCAGAGCAACTAAGCCCATGTGCCACAATTACTGAGCCTGCGCTCTAGAGCCCGGCTCTAGAACAACAAGAAAACAGATGAACAACAAGGAAAAACGGATGAATCTACCATTATACCCAGAGACTCCAACACCCCTCTATCAGTAATTGATAGATACAGCAGGCAGAAAATCAGAAAGGACATAGCTGAACTGAATACCACCAATCAGTTGGACCTAACTGATACTTTTACAATATTTCATGAATAACAACAAAATATATATTATTTTTAAGGGCATATGGAACATTTAAAAAGATAGACCATAATCTGGACTATAAATAAGTCTCAGTAAATTTAAAGAAATTTAAATCATACGAGTATGTTTTCTGATCACGCCGGAATCAATAATAGAAAGACATCAAGAAAATCCCCAAGTATCTGGAAACTATAATAACATACCTCTAAATAATCCTTGATTCAAGGAAAAAAATCAAAAGGGGAGTTACTATTTTCAATAGAATGAAAATAAACACACCATATCAAAATTTGTAGAATAAGAGCCCAGAAATAAACCTTTTCATAAATGGTAAAATGATTTCTGACAAGGGTATTAACACCATTCAATGAGGAAAGGGCAGTCTTTTCAACATATGTTATTGGGAAAACTGGTTATTCACATGCAAAAGAATTAAGCTGGACCCTGACCTTACGCTATATACAAAAATTAATTCAAAA